AGACGTCTGTATGTGGTGGTTCTTGATGCACTGACACCAGCCTCAGTCCACTCCTTATGAAGCTCCCCCAGATTTCTGAATCGCCCTTGCTTGACAATCCTCTCAAGGCTGCGGTCATCCCTGTCACTTTTGCACCTTTTCCGGCCACATTCTTCCCTTCTTCTTAACACTCTGTTAATATACTTTGATACTGCGTTCTGTGAGCATCCAGCTTCTTTTGCAATTGCCTTTTGAGACTTTTCCTCCTTATGGAGGGTGTCAATGATGGTCGTCTGCACAACCGTCAAGTCAGCAGTCTTCCCCATGATTCTGAAGCCTACTAAGCCAGACTGAGACAATTTCAAGGCTGAGGAAACCTTTGCAGGTGTTTTGCATTAATTAGCTGACTAGATTGGGACACAGGGAGCCTACAATGTTGAACTTTGTCATGATATTCTAATTTTGTGAAATACTGGATTTGGGTTTTTTTTGTCTTTAATCCATAATCATCAAAATTGAAACAAATAAAGGCTTGAAATATTTCACTTTGTGTGCAGTGAACTAATATAACATACAAGTTTCACTTTTTGAAACAAATTATTGAAATAAATGGACTTTTCCTCGATATTCTAATCTTTTGGCACATACCTGTAGTTGAAGTGGACTTGCCAAACATGAGGAGATTTGTAGCGAAATGCTGAGGTTTGGCTGAAGAAGCTGTTATTTAACCTCCAGTTTGTCATGTGCATCATTTTGATGATTTACAGGTTCATTCAGACGTAGTTTGCTGTTCCCCCGTCTCATTCTCCGGGAAAATTGCTGAGACAGGGAGCTGCTCTCTGACATCTGAGCCTTCTGAGGTAACCACTGACTCATCACAGAGATCTACAACCCCATCTGATGTACAAGACGATGATAAAGCAGGCAACAACGACTGCTTTAATTCTCCTTCAGAAGAGGCTTCTGCAGAAGATTTCTCTTGATCAGCTGCTAGTAACATAGGCTCTGATCCTGCTTCATCAGTGGAAACACTTCTAGATGTGAGACTTTCAACTAGTTTCAAATCCATTTCCTTTGGTCTTTGAGCAGGTGCTGATGTCACCAGGTACAAGACTTTTGCTGGCTGTGTCAAGATGAATTGTCTGTGTGAAAGGAAGAGGACAACATTATTAAAAACATACTTAAGTTTAACATGCAGTCTTTAGCAAGCTTGTCACTGGTTCATGCTTTTATCAACTATTACCAAACAATGTTTTTGAACTGCGATGACATACATTTTTAAACAGCTACTCTATAAGTGAAACCAAGTGTCAGGTTTTTGAGACCATATTGTTAAGTAACCTTAAAGGGGCACACCTCCAATTTTACACATGCAGGTCAGTGTAGTTGAATATCAAAAGGGAGCTTATGAAAACAGCAGTACAATGTTGTCAAGTCGACGCAGCTTTAGCTGAGTCAGGCCTTCACAAAATCAATGACCACACAAATCATGTCAGTTAGATTTCTGTCTGATCTGATCTCAAGGTGTTCTGACATCATTCGGATATCGGCAGCAGTAACCTCACGACGAGGAAATCCCAAATCTCATAAGCTCCATCGCTTCTCTTACTTGTGTCTTAGTCCCACCCACATAAGATGCGAAGAAAACATGAGGAGAGAGGACTCGAGGAAACACATTATTAATGACATGAGATGTCCTTTCCTCAGATCCCACATCAGAAGCTTCCCATCACCAACTGATTTCTGATAAAGGGGCATGTCAGTTCAGAAAAAACGTCTGTGAATACCTGGTCCTCACTCCTCCAAGCCAATATGAGAGACTTGGAATGCCCTATGTCCTTGGTCGACTGGAACGACTTCTGGGCTGACAGAGGAATGATCTTTATAAGAGACATGAAATGTACCCCATGAGTGTTTGGCGTTTCCTGCAATTCAGGACCTCAGTGCATTATGGGAAACACCTAGCCGTCCTCTGATCTAGCAGCTGACTGGCTCAGATGCTTCACCAAAAACATGACATTTTATACATTTTCTGTTTACCCGAGAGGATAAACTCATTCAGTCCAAATATTCCAGATACACAAACTTGACTTTTTTACATATTAAATTATTGTAAAGCAACAAACCATTGTTTACAGCTGCATAGAGTGATGTTAATCCCTAACTATTGAATTCTATCTGACAGATCAATGAAGGAAACAGATTATATGCTGACTTTGCTACTGGGTTGCACATGAGAAAATGTTTGTAGCACTTAACCTAAACTAGGCAATCAATGTCAGGACCTCTCAGCCTGTGTCTATATTGACTATGTTTGCAGGTCTCCCTTCCTGATGGAAGTGAGGAACTAAATCACTGCAGTGCCCCTTTAGGAATTCAACAGATGTTCTTTGTCAAATGTTTTTATAGCTTAGATATAAGCAGGTGACAGGATGTAATGTGGGTAGTTGTTTCTACTCACACTCGATCTTTGGCTTTCACATCTGCTGGGTTAAACACAAGAGACAACCTTTTCAAGGTACTTGTAACACTAAATACTAGTAGTTACTCAGGTGGAAGCAGAGGGAAAAACATACCTTTATCTTGAATGATTTTGCATGTGTGATTTGGCCTATCAGTTAAATGTTTAGTCATCAGGTCACCGCCTGATGCATCCACGAGGAGGTCACAGTTGAGACAGACCAGGGTGAATCTGAGGAGAAAAAAAAAAGTCCGGTCATGTTCAAATTCCATGTTCAATTCCAAAAAGAAAATACAATTTTCTGTGCAAAACAGAAGTTATGAGGCATACTTACTTTAGTGAAGATGAATTTCTCTTATGATCTCTTTTCAAGACTCTGTTGATGGTGCTATGAAATCTAGCAAGGACCAGAAAATATGTCACGAGATTTGTCAGATAAAAACATTGGACCTAAAATACCAAAGCCATGACTCGATTAAAATTGTTACTCACTTTATCATGTGATCACTAATGGAAACTTTGCAACTGGTGCGATATTTGCACGCACCGCAACTTGAAACCATTGGGAAATGAGAAAATAAGTCGTCAACTTGTGAATTGCACTCGATGCATGTGTAACGTCCTGCACTGAGTCTGAAAAATGAAATAAAGAGCACAAACGTTTTATTATATGGTCAAAGACTGAAGTTTAAACATTAAAAAGAACCCCTTCATGAGTCAGACTTCATTATACTGCAAAGGATAAATAATGTGAATTTATTGCAGCTGAGATGGTTCATTATGGGTACCCACAAACAGATACCTGTGTCAGCCGTTTGCTTCCATTATACCAGTACATGACCCTACATTTCATCTGCTTAAAAGCTATTTCATATGACTAAAACCAGCACACTGTGCTTAATAGCTGAGCCCAATTAATTTAATGGTACACATTATATTTTAAGGAATTAAATCCCACTCTACCTGCTGTACACCACATTTTTTAACATTTAATTCATTTACAAAATCAAGCCATTTTAAAATGCGCCTTAAAACAACAACTCAATTGGTGCTAAGGGCTTACTCAAAGTAAATCAGTCTGTGTTGACTGCTTCTTTAAACAGTACAGCAGTTTCACTCTAATATGACCCACAATGCAACACAACTGTTTAGGTATGTTATGTTAGTAGTGGCACAGGCTGAAAAGCTCATTTCTTCCTAATTCCACACCCCCAGATTAAAAAAAAATTCCATTAATTCATTTTCAACCTAATACATTCTGATAAAATAAGTGATAATACAAGTAACAAGAGCTCTTTCAGATTTGTAACTGCAGCACAAATGATTGGTTTGTATTAAAAACATCTGTTCAAATTTCCATAAAAATGAAATTAGTCGTTGAAAAAAACCTGAGGTTTTTGAGTGCCAGGTTGTGCCGAGCAGTTCGAGCATCTCTCTTCTTGCTCTGAGTCGCCTTGGGTTTTTCCGCTCCAGATACATATGATTTAGATTTAGATACAGTGACTGGTTTGGTTTGCTGATTGAATTGTAGTGGTTCTGGACTGACAACGCCAGGTCGATCAGGAGAGACGGGCATCTTTCCTGAGAGGGAGGCCCGAATGGTCACCTGGAAAGAAAATACAATATTTACTGACTCAATATTAAATTTGCATTAATCTAAAAATTGTTCAAACATGTAGGTTTGAAATTAATGCTGTACTAATCTTATTACAGCAGTGTCACACCTTGGTACCTGGAGGAAGACCCTCCAGGGCTTTAGGTTTTCTGAAAGTCTTGTGGACCTGAGTCCTGTGCTCCACTTTCTCCTTGTAGGTGAGGAAATTCAATCTGCATTTCCCACAGCGATTGATCCCTTTTTTCTGACATAAAAAAACAAAACAAAAAACATTACATTGTAGAAAAGAAAAAAAGTGGTTAATAAGCAGCGCAACTAGAGGCTAATTGCTGTCGTTTCATTTGAATGAAAATAAGTATGAAAGAAACTACTATTAATAGAATAGCAATTAATTTTGTTTGGTTCCAGCTCTACCATATTTATTTCTCCTTTAGCAAAGGTGAAGAGAAGCACATTTTATTGTCAGCTTTTTATTTATTACAGCAAGGTGCTCAGCAGACAACTAAATCAATCTAACCTTACAGGTGGAGCTACAAATACAACCCAAAGGTGATTACAATGTTTTAACAGTTCTTCAATTTGGAAAATGTGTAAAGTAAAAAAAAAAAAAAAAAAAATGTACAAACCAAAAGTAAATTCAAACTCCTGCAAATTTACTTTTTAAAGTAAAGACTTTACAGAACCAGCAGCCTATTACAAAAAACACAATTCTGTGACTCCGTATCTGTGTTGTATTCGTAATGCAACTTTTAGAAAGGCATTACTAACTTCTAAACAAACTGGATGAAATGCAGCATCATACCTGGTGTTTCATGTAGTGTTGCATATATATGTGACTACTTTTAAGAACTTTGAGACAGAAGGGACACAGCAGGTCTTTTGTGTTTTCATGAACACTTCGAAAATGTGTCTCCACGTCTGAGAAGAAGGAGGACCTGTAATTGCACACCTGTGAAATCAGTGAAACAGAATTTCAGTTATCAGTGAATGTTTTCATTGAAACGTTACCAAACCACAGCTCAGTAACAAGTGACACACCTGGCAGACATAAGGCATTTCCCCAGGCTTGTGGTTGTCCTTCATGTGTTCAAGCAGCACTTGCTCCGACTCAAATGCCAGCTCGCATATCTTGCAATTGGCTGGTAAAGAAAAAGAAAAGTTAAATTACAAATAGCCACTAAGTGTATGCTTATACAGTCAGGTCAGATGAAGTTGTGATATACTTGAGGATTCAATGGGGCTGTGAGCACTCTCGATGTGGCACTGCAGCTGGAACGGAGTCATGTACTGTCGGTAGCAATGCTGACAGGTTGTGTGGCTTTCCCAGCTCTCACTGTTCTGCTTTTCTAGCTCCAGATGGTGTTTCATGTGGTTCATGAACCTGGAAGAGAGGGTGGACACAGAAACCACAGAAATGTCACGTAACCTTTAATACAAGGGAAGATCACAAATGATAAGCCAGCTTGTCTCCATAAAGAAGCAAAATGAGAGTAAAAAAACTTTTTCATTATAGGAACCTACTGAAACGCGTCATGCTGAGTAACGCTCATCACGGGTTCTGTGTTTGTTTCCACTATGGTGCGCCTGCTTTGGAGGTAAGGTCTGGGAGCTAAATTTCAGCACCCCTCAGGAGGTAGTACTAAAATCAAGTGCAAACTAGGCTCTCAGAACTCACAAAGGGCATTTTGTCACTACTTTGTTGGGACATTTTATGGACTAAACTGTGATGCCTGAGAGGTTTCATGTAGAAGGAAAAAAATAAATAAAACTGTGCACCTGTGTCCTGCTCATACAAGATTGTCCTGTGTGCAGGACTTGAAAGTCAATAAGCAAGCCACTTAACAGACTAAAATAAATACATTTCCATAAAATAACTGCTAAAATTTAAGAGTTTAATATCTAAGCTGAACCACAAGTACTACTAAAACATTTAGGAATTTAAGCCTGTTGATGTTCTAATTCTTCATTGCATGTAAATTTGCTATGGGAAATGTTTCTAGAAACTGCTGAGCTGGAGAGCTGTGCTTCAGATGGTCATTGTATAACAGTTAGACACCAAATTGAAGCGCAATAAATATACACAGGTGCAGAAAAGCAGCTCATGAGCCGTCAGTCAGAATGCTGCAATATGTGCACAGCTGTCAAGAGGTGGCTCACTTTATGTAATTGAAATAGCATGATTCATTGTGTGCAACAGCCAAAACCCACAGTATATGTACAAATCTCAGTCCAAGATCAAGGTAATACTGTATTAAATACATGTGATCTAAAGTCTGCGATATATACAGTATGTATAAATAATTAAACAGAGCATGAATTAAAGCTACAGTATGCAACATTTTTTGAAACATCTGTTGTAGAAATGTGCTCCAAAAGCTCTAACCTAGACTCATTGAAAAGTGTTTTGAGCAGGACAGACCTCTCTAACCAATCAGGTTTTCAAAAATGTTGCTTAGACATTATGTTTTGATGCCTTCTCATTTCATAAACAACAAATATCTGAAGAGCTGGGCAGAATGTGGTTGAGTGTAGCAGACTGTAGTGGAGCAGAGCGGACTGATTTGGAGATCCATGCTACGCTACCTTAAGGGACATACTATAGCTTTAAGCAATCTGTGCAAAGGGTTCATTTGTTCCTGCACAGCACTTCCTGGTTTCCATACTAAACAACTGACCAATTCATCGAGAAAAATCATCAGCAGACTGAGTGAAAAAAATTGCTGCTTGCAATCTCTAAACTGAAATACCTCTTTTGGTCTTTTTACTCAACAGACTGTTACATAAAACAAAATGACACTTATAAGTTTGTGGAGCACAACATCTATTTTCAGCTCCATCATTCATTACAAACCTGAAGTTGTCATTTCACAAGAACATGCAAATGTACACAGAGTTGCATGAACAACTGAAAAATGAACGGAGCTGCTCTGATAGCAAAAGTAAAATAATAATACTTACTAGGTCACTCATATTTATGCATTTTAAGTCCATGTGCCACATGGGCCCCTTTTATATGTTAACCAAAAAATGTGCACATGCATATTTTGTCAGCACATACAACACAATCTGACAATTGAATTGATCAAAAAATAAAAACACTTATAGACTCTATATGTGCAGGAGCTCTGCAGTGATTTGAGCAATATTTCTATTTTTAGAATGCAAAATAAAACAAAACCAAAGTGAAGAAGTGGTGAATATTGATAGTGTATGCACATGTGGTGGTTGGGGTCCATGTCCCAAAGGTTTTTAAGATAAATGAAGTATTCTCCTTGCACCTCACATTTTAAGCATGTATAATGGCTGCTATAATATCACCAATTACACACGGATTTTTGTTTTGCCTAATGATGTGGTGCCCTGCGGCTGCAATGAGCACCTCCATAGCTACCTGCCACTGCCGCCCTGACGAGGCACAGCCCATTTTTCAGCCTGCACATTCTGCTACCTCAGCTCCCCTAATAGAAAATTTTATGTGGATGAACTATGACCTTGACTGTGAGAGTGTCAAGCAGTACAAATGTGCATCCCCATTAAAAGCAGCTTACAGAAGCTTTTTACAATGTTCTGAAACAAAGTTATTTAATCGGAGGAGCAGTTCTTACGCCACCTAAAGTAGCAGTCATTTTTCATCTTTAGACCCATGAGAGCAAATGGTCCGATACTGTCATCCATCTGAAAAGAACATTGTGGCGAGAGCTGAGGAAGGTGTCCATGCTTTCTTTATTGGCACTGGACATTCTTTTCAGCAAATTCCTAAAGTCCTAGTAGACAGTTTTTGATCAGAGACTCAATGCTGGAAAATAATTTACTTGCATTGTTGCATTTAAAACAAATCTAACATCACAGGTTCAATTTGGAGAAGTGTTTACCAACTTATACAAAAATAAATAAAGAATAAATAAAAATATAAATCAATAAATTCAGCAAACATTTGTTAGGGTGATTTTCATTATTAGATAGAAATGAATATAATTAGTTAGGGTTTTTATTATATAGCATACATAAGTCTATATACTTTAATCTCACAGTTGTGTTTATGTTTATGTAGTTACATATCTACATATCACCCTATGTGTTCACTGCAGACGACGTTGTCCTGTTGGCCCCATCAAACCAGGACCTCCAGCGTGCACTGGGGCGATTTGCAGCCGAGTGTGAAGCGGCTGGGATGAGAATCAGCACCTCCAAATCCGAGGCCATGGTTCTCAGTCGGAAAAGGGGGGCTTGTTTCCTTCGATTCGATGGGGCTGTGAGCACTCTCGATGTGGCACTGCAGCTGGAACGGAGTCATGTACTGTCGGTAGCAATGCTGACAGGTTGTGTGGCTTTCCCAGCTCTCACTGTTCTGCTTTTCTAGCTCCAGATGGTGTTTCATGTGGTTCATGAACCTGGAAGAGAGGGTGGACACAGAAACCACAGAAATGTCACGTAACCTTTAATACAAGGGAAGATCACAAATGATAAGCCAGCTTGTCTCCATAAAGAAGCAAAATGAGAGTAAAAAAACTTTTTCATTATAGGAACCTACTGAAACGCGTCATGCTGAGTAACGCTCATCACGGGTTCTGTGTTTGTTTCCACTATGGTGCGCCTGCTTTGGAGGTAAGGTCTGGGAGCTAAATTTCAGCACCCCTCAGGAGGTAGTACTAAAATCAAGTGCAAACTAGGCTCTCAGAACTCACAAAGGGCATTTTGTCACTACTTTGTTGGGACATTTTATGGACTAAACTGTGATGCCTGAGAGGTTTCATGTAGAAGGAAAAAAATAAATAAAACTGTGCACCTGTGTCCTGCTCATACAAGATTGTCCTGTGTGCAGGACTTGAAAGTCAATAAGCAAGCCACTTAACAGACTAAAATAAATACATTTCCATAAAATAACTGCTAAAATTTAAGAGTTTAATATCTAAGCTGAACCACAAGTACTACTAAAACATTTAGGAATTTAAGCCTGTTGATGTTCTAATTCTTCATTGCATGTAAATTTGCTATGGGAAATGTTTCTAGAAACTGCTGAGCTGGAGAGCTGTGCTTCAGATGGTCATTGTATAACAGTTAGACACCAAATTGAAGCGCAATAAATATACACAGGTGCAGAAAAGCAGCTCATGAGCCGTCAGTCAGAATGCTGCAATATGTGCACAGCTGTCAAGAGGTGGCTCACTTTATGTAATTGAAATAGCATGATTCATTGTGTGCAACAGCCAAAACCCACAGTATATGTACAAATCTCAGTCCAAGATCAAGGTAATACTGTATTAAATACATGTGATCTAAAGTCTGCGATATATACAGTATGTATAAATAATTAAACAGAGCATGAATTAAAGCTACAGTATGCAACATTTTTTGAAACATCTGTTGTAGAAATGTGCTCCAAAAGCTCTAACCTAGACTCATTGAAAAGTGTTTTGAGCAGGACAGACCTCTCTAACCAATCAGGTTTTCAAAAATGTTGCTTAGACATTATGTTTTGATGCCTTCTCATTTCATAAACAACAAATATCTGAAGAGCTGGGCAGAATGTGGTTGAGTGTAGCAGACTGTAGTGGAGCAGAGCGGACTGATTTGGAGATCCATGCTACGCTACCTTAAGGGACATACTATAGCTTTAAGCAATCTGTGCAAAGGGTTCATTTGTTCCTGCACAGCACTTCCTGGTTTCCATACTAAACAACTGACCAATTCATCGAGAAAAATCATCAGCAGACTGAGTGAAAAAAATTGCTGCTTGCAATCTCTAAACTGAAATACCTCTTTTGGTCTTTTTACTCAACAGACTGTTACATAAAACAAAATGACACTTATAAGTTTGTGGAGCACAACATCTATTTTCAGCTCCATCATTCATTACAAACCTGAAGTTGTCATTTCACAAGAACATGCAAATGTACACAGAGTTGCATGAACAACTGAAAAATGAACGGAGCTGCTCTGATAGCAAAAGTAAAATAATAATACTTACTAGGTCACTCATATTTATGCATTTTAAGTCCATGTGCCACATGGGCCCCTTTTATATGTTAACCAAAAAATGTGCACATGCATATTTTGTCAGCACATACAACACAATCTGACAATTGAATTGATCAAAAAATAAAAACACTTATAGACTCTATATGTGCAGGAGCTCTGCAGTGATTTGAGCAATATTTCTATTTTTAGAATGCAAAATAAAACAAAACCAAAGTGAAGAAGTGGTGAATATTGATAGTGTATGCACATGTGGTGGTTGGGGTCCATGTCCCAAAGGTTTTTAAGATAAATGAAGTATTCTCCTTGCACCTCACATTTTAAGCATGTATAATGGCTGCTATAATATCACCAATTACACACGGATTTTTGTTTTGCCTAATGATGTGGTGCCCTGCGGCTGCAATGAGCACCTCCATAGCTACCTGCCACTGCCGCCCTGACGAGGCACAGCCCATTTTTCAGCCTGCACATTCTGCTACCTCAGCTCCCCTAATAGAAAATTTTATGTGGATGAACTATGACCTTGACTGTGAGAGTGTCAAGCAGTACAAATGTGCATCCCCATTAAAAGCAGCTTACAGAAGCTTTTTACAATGTTCTGAAACAAAGTTATTTAATCGGAGGAGCAGTTCTTACGCCACCTAAAGTAGCAGTCATTTTTCATCTTTAGACCCATGAGAGCAAATGGTCCGATACTGTCATCCATCTGAAAAGAACATTGTGGCGAGAGCTGAGGAAGGTGTCCATGCTTTCTTTATTGGCACTGGACATTCTTTTCAGCAAATTCCTAAAGTCCTAGTAGACAGTTTTTGATCAGAGACTCAATGCTGGAAAATAATTTACTTGCATTGTTGCATTTAAAACAAATCTAACATCACAGGTTCAATTTGGAGAAGTGTTTACCAACTTATACAAAAATAAATAAAGAATAAATAAAAATATAAATCAATAAATTCAGCAAACATTTGTTAGGGTGATTTTCATTATTAGATAGAACTGAATATAATTAGTTAGGGTTTTTATTATATAGCATACATAAGTCTATATACTTTAATCTCACAGTTGTGTTTATGTTTATGTAGTTACATATCTACATATCACCCTATGTGTTCACTGAATCACTGGTCAGTATTTACTGTGTTAGCTAACTGGAGCACTGGTTAACATCAAGGGGGGCTGGTGTGTATTATCTTGTCAACCGGTGGCTACATTTTCCAAATATATCATGTGAGCTTTCAGTGTGTGGTCATTTTTGGTTTAGTTTATCATGACCAGCACCTGTCTTTTAGCTGTGCATTCATGCTAAGTTAATTTCAGTAATGAACCTACAGACATTTATCACAGTCTGCAGGTGCACTCAGCTTTATAGCCAGTTTCAGCTCATTGTTTTTCTGTCTGGCACACAGCCTCATTGTTCATATGCAGGAAGCTGTTTTCAGTGGGAAAAAAAAAACAAACCAAAACTAACTTTAAAAAGCACACTGTACATTCCCTGCTCAGCACCAAACAGCAGACAGAGTTAGAGATGAGCTACTGAACTTAGCAGAACATTTAGTAGGTAAAAAGCAAGATATTTCCCTCAGGAGTTGGTAGAGACAAAAAAGAGCTAAGAGACAGTGTACATGTACACAAGAAATGGATTATTAACTGTGATTTTACTGAGGGCAAGGAAACGCATGATCATACCTGATATTGTTCTTGAGAACCTTTAAACAGCTTTGGCACTTGAAAGTATTGTTGGTCTTCTGCCCCTCTTGCTTTTTCCCATCTCCTTCAAAGCGGCCGTAGTAAAAATCTGAGACCAGCATGATGCGCTTGTTTGCACTAATGGTCATAGTTGATGCAGCTGTGCCTTTTACATTCTTACGACAAGCCTGAAATGGGACATGCTTTACATGAATATGCCAACTTCATATTGATGTCTAATTTATTTAAGATGCACATCAAGAACATTTTACTCAGAAAATATTTGTCTGAAGGGTTGCTATGTGGTAAAAAAGCTAAGCAGGATCGAAAGAGCATAGTATGCCATTAAAAGTTTTTGGTGGATACTTACCACATTTTATATTTATGATGTAAAATGTAATTGTTTCCGGGCATTGCAGGACAGTTTTACTCACCATCAAATGAAATTTCAGGGTGTCCTGTATAAACTCTTCTTGACATTTTGGGCACTTTTGCTTTAAGATCCCATTTTCCTCTCTGGCGGTTACTTTTGGTGGCCCTACAGGAAAACCGGTTAGACGTTACAGTTAGCACAATATTAAATATAAGTAGAACTAACATTTGTTTTAGGGTGTATTTATGACAATGAGATTACAAGGCAGTATTAAAATTCCTCTTGCAAAAGAGACTTACCTAAATCAATCTTTGCTCTTTTTGCTAAGCTGTCTGTTTGCTGTGTTGGTATGTCTCGTTTGACTGAGCTTTCAACTGTATGAAACCCAAGAAAATACATTTACATTTTGGTCACTGCCAGCAAGTATGGCAAAGTAAGGTAAAACTTGAAGAATGTCACCTTTGTTATTGCTAATGGCCTTTACAGGCACAGGGAAGGTCTGAAGAGGGTGTGATTTGGGCTGGTTGGACTGTGTTGAATATACAGCAGGGCTCTGGACATTAGACAGTGTCACAATGTTGTTGCTTATTTGTTGCACCTGAGGCCTGTGGACAGCACCAGGTATTACCGTGCCTGGACTGCCCTGCTGAAAAAGCTGTTGCTGACCAGCTAAAAGACAGAACAAACTCCTTAAACACATGTACTCACTCAGTCCCACCATGCCCTGCTCTGTTTCTCTCTTACATACACAAACACATGACAATGGACCATCTGTGAACAGCTCCTCCTCTCTTTTTTGTCAATCGCTGAGATCCAACTCGTCTAATATGTTATTAGCAAGCTAGTAAGGCTAGCTAAACTAACATTACAGCTTTTGCGGAGGTCAGCACACTGTATATAGCATGAATGTATATGGACTGCTCTGCAAGTGGATAAACTTAATGCTAGTTCATAAATTCTGACGGTGAATGTTTGCCCCGTCAGTCCAGGGGAATACCACAAGAGACGTGAAAGTTGATCAGTCCAATCAGTTTGATTAGCGATTCAGTTGATTTGTTTCAGGTATTTATTGGTTTCAACTAGTGCTGGTAAAGCAGCAAGAGAGGGTTTGGAAGAAAGAGAAGTAGGAAGAGCCAACATGCTGCCGCTGTGGGAGAGTTGGTTCAGAAGAGACAGGTCAGATGAACAGCACAACTTCACAATAGCATAACTACATTTAATTTAGTAGTATTTGTAGAGGGGTTCCACAAAGATTCATTTTGGGACCCACCTTATTTACCATCTTTTTTTTAAAGAGCCCATGGTATGCTTTTCTGTTTTCTGACTTATCTACAATGTTACAGTGATGAATTATTATCTTAAATGTGACGGAAAGCTCAAAAACGAGGTGTACCTGTGTTGTTGTACTTCAAATCAAATCAAATTTGATTTGTATAGCGCCAAATCACAACAAAAGTCATCTCAGGACACTTCACAAAGTAAGGTCTAGACCTTACTGTTATCAATATTATTACATAAAACCCAACAAATCCCCCTTGAGCAAGCACTTGGCGACAGTGGGGAGGAAAAACTCCCTTTAACGGAAGAAACCGCTGGCTGCAGCATTTTGGATTAACTGGAGGCTTTTTAGGGAATTATTGGGACATCCTGATAGTAAAGAGTTACAGTAGTCCAGCCTGCATGGACCAGTTTTTCAGCATCACTTTGAGACAGGATGCTCCTGATTTTTGCAATATTGTGCAGGTGAAAGAAGGCAGATCTAGAGACTTGGTTTATGTGCGATTTAAAGGACATATTCTGATCAAAGATGACTCCAAGGTTCCTCACAGTAGTACTGGAGGCAAGAGCTATGTCATCTAAAGAGTCTAATAATGAACAGAATGCATTGTTGAGGCTGTCATTGTCGGCATCTACATGAATATTAAAGTCGCCTACTATGATTATTTTATCTGTACTAAGCACTAAATCAGACAGAAAGTCTGAGAATTCACTTAAAAACTCTGAATAAGGAGCAGGTGGACGGTATACAATAACAAACAGAAAAGGCTTTTGAGTTTTCCTGTTTGGGTGTGAGAGACTCAGGGTGAGACTTTCAAATGAGTTATAACTATGTTTAGGTCTAGGGTTGATTAATAGGCTTGAGTCAAAGATCGCTGCCACGCCACCACCTCGGCCTGTGTTTCGAGGGATGTGACAGTTACTGTGACTAGGTGGAGTGGATTCATTTAGGCTGACATATTCTTCCTGCTGTAACCATGTTTCAGTAAGACACAATAAGTCAATGTGATGTTCACTTATCAAATCATTCACTAACAGAGATTTAGATGAGAGAGATCTGATATTTAATAGTCCACATTTGATTGTCCTATTACTTTCCGCTATAAGAGGAGTCATTTTAATTTTAATTAGGTTATGAATAACTCCTCTAGAGTTGATTCTTGATTTATATAATTTAGGTGGGCGGGGGGCAGACACGGTCTCTATGGGGTACTGGGAGGGTTGGGTGGGTAGCAGCTGCAGAGAGACAGCAGAGAGGCGTGTAAGACTGCGACCCTGCATCCTGGACTCAACTCTGGGTTGTCATAATTTAGGTTGTAAAACAAACCCGTTCAGATTTCTAGAGAAGAGAGCCGCACCACCCAAAGTGGGATGGATGCCGTCTCTGCTAATCAGACCAGGTTTTCCCCAAAATGTTTTCCAGTTGTCTATGAAGCCCAC